TAGGGTTTAGGGCTTAGGGGTTTTCTACTATGCCCGGGTTACCAAAGAGGGTCTCTTATGGGTCTCTTCTTGAAGGGCTTCTTTCTTAGAGTTCAGGAACAAGGAAAAAGTCATTTTTGGAGGGCTGCTGACAGGGATGCTGTCAGGTTTGCCCAGACCGCTACTATGCTATACGGGTTCTTACAGCGGTGCTTGAAGGTTTGAGGCTTCCCGCGGCGTTCGCGGCTTGAGGCTGAGTTTCAGGATCTGCGGTCTGCAATTGGGGATTTGGGCTTTCGGGTGGAGTGCAGCTGATAATAAGAACAGATGGGCTATTTGGCGAGTCATGGACTCATGCACGGGCTGCAGATCATGCTATAATGTATAATGTATAACGGATCATATGTATATATATATATAAACTGTAGAACAATGTAGTATGTATAATATACAACATATGCTTGAGAGCAGTCAAGCCTTAAAAACTAAGTGATCTGAAAAAAAGCCTGCATTGCCGCTCATCAGATCAGCCAAGATGCCAGCCAACATCTCCTGGGGGGGTGTTGGCTTGAGACGTGTGTCTGGGGTTCGCCCGAAAGCTTACAGCCTAAATCCGAAAACTCTGAACAGCCTAGCACATGTTTCGCGAGCTTGCCAGGCTTCCTAGCCAGCACAATTCAGTACATGCAGTCCCCACAGGGTTTAGGGTTTAGGCTTCGGGGTTCAGGGTCGAAACTGACACTCGATAAACCACCTTCTGGCAACCCGTACAAAGCCCTTTTATTTTACACCTTGCAGAACTCTCACAAGATTCCTAGCAGGGCCCCGAAAAAGCGCACAAGCAAAACCCTAAAGCCGAAACCGTAAACCCTAAACCCTAAACCCATAAATCCCTTTGTTCCGAACTGCTGATTCCACGGCACGCCGCAAACCTAGGCTGCCCAAGTCGCGAGGTTCAGAAACTGCCCGTGGCCATAGACCTTCGGTGTAGGGCTTTGGGTTTAGGGATTAGGATTTAGGGTTCGGGGTTTAGGGGTTTAGGGTTTAGGGTTCAGGGTTTTGGGGATTTAGGATTTAGGGTTTAGGGTTCAGGATTTAGGCTTCAGGGTTTTGGGGGATTTGGGATTGTTTCTTTAAAGTGCACTAGGCCCCCCCTTTCTCCTGCAGAAGCTCGCTCTGATTAGAGCTTGCACGTCACAAAGCGATCCACCGAAACAGGATCAGTCTGCACTCGACAGGGCTTAGGGTTCAGGATTTAGGGTTCGGGGTTTTAGGGGATTTGGGGTTCAGGTTTAAGGCTTATGGCTATTTTCTTGTTTTTCAACTTGCTGGCGGCGGGGGTCGAAGGAGCCCCCAAGGGAACCCTGTCCTTAAAGGCAACCCCGAAAAGGGAGCCCTTGAAAACCCTAAACCCTAAACCGATCCCCTCGAACGAGCTGAGCAGCCGCCACCGGCGACTTCCAGTGCCTCCGGTCTTCGGGGATGGACTCGAAGATGCCTCCAGGAGGGAGGCTTTACAAAAAAGGGGTTTAGGGGGGTTTAGGGTTTAGGGTTTAGGGTTTAGGGGAGGCTCCAATAAGAGGGGCCGGGAGGCTTCTTCTTTAAAGGGCTCGTTCATGGCTTCGGGATTTCGGAGTTCAGGGAACTTCAGGGTTGGAAGGACTCTTGCAGGATGAGCCTAGGCTTCGTTGAGAGGCTCCGGGAAGCTCCTCTAGACGTTGCACTACTTGGAGGTTCAGGGGTAGTTATAAGTGGAGTTATAAGTAAGCTAACTATACTTATAACCCATGTTAGGGGACTTATAACCCTACTTATAACTACCCATGAACCTCCAAGTAGGGTTCGTAATCCCAGTCCCGGGCTGTGTCATTTCGGGTTTCGGTTTGGGCTGGGCCCTAAGCAACTGGGGGCTGGTCACAGCAAAAAAACGACCTACTTTGGGCCACTTGGGGCGCTGAAAATAACAATGTAGGGTTTAGGGTTTAGGGTGTCTCAAAACGACCAACTTGTGTGTTAAGCAAGACTTGGTAAAAGCTCACATGCACTGATCTGGCTGAACCCGCCTCTGGAGCTACCAATCCCAAAGGCACGTATCCTGAATTCGGGTTTAGGGTTTAGGACGCTAAACCGCCCTAAACTCCTAATCAAAGAGCAAAACAAAGAAACACAACCCAGGCCTACAGAACCGGTGTGGATCAGGTACAGCACATCGTGCTTGTCCTTCGACCTCGCATCGTTGCAAGGGCGATTTACTCCTTTACGAAAACGGCGACATTCCTTTTGAAACATTGCGATCGAAATGGAAAACCCTCTACTACATGATAGGTTATAGTACCATGGTCATATACTGCTACAGATGTCGCTAGTATGCTGTTGCCCTATCACACTACTCCACATTACACATAGCTGTGTGTTTATATCTACGTATGTATATACACATATATATGTGTATACCGTAGGTACATGCACACACACACACACATATATATATATATTTATTTATTTATTTATTTATTTTGTGTATGTATATAACTGTATATGTATCTTTATATATATATATATATATATATATGTATATGCATACATACATAGTGTATCTATACATAATTATAATATACTGTATATATACACATAGGCGCTCTATACTGTAGAACACAATCCACACTTCTCTTACTGCTGATTCCTCCCAGTTAGGAACAGACTATTGTACGTGAACTACGTCTGTCTCCCCTACACCCGCAACCCCAAACCTCTCATGTAAGGGCGTCGGGCGCCAAGCCAAGCTCCCTCTAAGACTGGGTTTTGGGACATATTCTATTGTATCTAACTCTATCTGCATATCTGTGCTTTTAAAAAACCTTAGGGTTTTGGAGTTTAGTATACTATAGCCACACTACGGAACCAAAAGGAAGAAATTACTCCTCGCATTATGTTGTACTTATACTCAGCAACCACATTACCAGTCACTCGGGCTTCTAGATGAAAACCTAATCTAAAGCCCTAAACCCTAAAACCTAAACCCTAAACCCTAAAACACTGAGCTGTTCCAACGCCAGAGGCCGCCGAAAGCCTAATCTAAAACCCTAAACCCTAACACCTAAACCCTAAACCCTAAAACACTGAGCTGTTCCAACGCCAGAGGCCGCCGAAAGCCTAATCTAAAACCCTAAACCCTAAAACCTAAACCCTAAAACCTAAAACACTGAGCTGTTCCAACGCCAGAGGCCGCCATGCGACGACCAGAGCAGGGTGCTGTGCTTCGTGATGTCGACCTGCTCCGAGCCATGGGTCCAGGATAGGGGTTTGGGGTCCAGGGTTTAGGAATCCAGGGTTCAGGGTTTAGGGTTTAGGGTTTAGGGCTTAGGGTTTAGGGTTTGGGGTCCAGGGTTGAGGGTTTAGGGTTTAGGGTTTAGGGTTTAGGGTTTAGGATTCAGAGTTTAGGATTAGGGGATTCTGGAAATGCAAGATTTTTCGGGCTGTTAGGGCTTTTGGGCGGTGTCTCGTTCTTCGCTTCACTCAATGTTCGTCTCTCTAGATTCGCAGAGGGAACCGTCGGGGTTACCATGAGGGCCACTATGGTGACTACTATAGGGGCTGCCGCAATAAATATCAGGATTGCTACAAGAGGTTGCAGAAAGGATTTAGGGATAAGCCACAGGGATAAGCCACCCTTGGTTTGGGATACTGGCATGTTCGGACGTTGGTGTCTTAAGAAGGAAGGATACATTATCGAGACCTGTGGGTTCGTGCGGTCGTATTGATCTGATCTCAACCTGAACCTCATCTTCATATGTACTTTTCTGAATGTGCCACGTCCTTCCTGCTACTATTTCACTCTTCGTTGATTCCATCTAGCAAGAAAGCTGCTACATCTTCACTTTTGGTCCTCCCCGTCTACGACCGCTGTGACGTGCGAAACTCTGAACGCAACCCAAAACTCTCTAAACCTGGAAACCTTGACTGAACGTTGCGGTGCCCTTACAAAAACATCGCAAACCGGCTGGAAACTCCAAAAAAGCTCGGCGACCTTGGTGCAGAAGCGCCAGGGGCAGCCCAACCTGCGCAAAGGGAGGCACCGCAGACTGCTTGCCTATCCTCTACATGGGTAGTTCTCTAAATTACGGTCCCTTTTTAAGTCCCCAATATAGTACGGATATGGGTGGTTGTCCGCTTTTAGGCTCCTAGACTATACCATATTAAGAGTAGGACTGTGTAGAATTCTCCCAAAGGACCATGATTTTGACAGTTGCCCTATAAGGGAAAAGAACATTCTTCCCTGATGCCCTAAACTCCAAACCGAATCGTCAACCCTGAACCCAGGAATTTAGCTTATTCCTTCTTCTGGGAGGACAGGTCAAGACCGAATTTGTAGGAGTTTAGGGCTTAGGGTGTATGGGCTCAGGACAGGAGGGTCGGAGGGTTGAGGGTAAGCTTAGAGGTTTCAAGGAGTTTAGGGTGTAGGGCACACTGCTAGTGTTCCGCCCAAAACTGGAAGGTCAGCATGACGCTTCCGGGTCCTACAATCATCTGATACAAACTCAGACATGAAGCACTAGGATGCCTCACTGAAACCTCTGCACACAAGTCTCTGCGAAAGCCCCCTAGACTCCGAACTGCAACAGGGAAAGCTGTTGTCGCTTTTGGGGAGGCAAAGTGTGAGGCATCCACGGCTGCAAGAGAGCTCGGGCTTGGGCGCTGCTCGCTGGTCGCCAGACCCTCTCCGCCTGGCATCGTCTGTCACCAGGATGCCGCCGAAGGGCTCGAAGGTCACCTGGCATGCCCCAGATGCTAGTTACGATGCCCCGAGATCGTCCGATGTAGATGGACCATGCTCCTTTAGACATTCCATGCATAGTTAAACACCTCCAGGCGCGAAATACTAGAGACGATGATGTATGTACATTCGTAGGTACATGTACGTATCTGTGCGTGTGCGTGTGTGTCTGTGTATACATATGCTGAATATAGAAACTATACTTAATAACCTGCTAGATGATTGCACGACTGATCTGCTGCAGAAGGGCCAACTCTACCAAGCGTCCCTGAGACTCTGTATGCTGGCTCTCTGATGAAACGCAAACGCTTGGCTCCACATGGGCACCTGCTCCTTGCGCACCGCCTGGTGGTACTGAATTCCCGGATGCAGAGAAGAGAAGAGGCCTGGCACGTCCGAGCTAATGTAGGAACCTGATTAAGAAACCCTGGATCTTTATTAGGGTTGTTTATATGAATCCTACTATTTTGGGGTTATAGGGCCAAGGTTTCTTAATCAGGTTCCTACATTATCATGCCTCCGGCGAGTGATTGAAAGGGATTGCACCTAGCCAGGACACCCTGAAGCCATGACCAGAGAGTCCAGACGCTCACCCTTCTGCGTTCTCCGGCCCTCCGAAACAGCGTTCCCAGAGGCTCCAATATCCCTTAATTAAGGAATATACCTTAAATCATATTAAGGATCCTACTATAATTTAAGGAATATTCCTTAATTAAGGAATATTGGAGTCTCTGGGTTGTATCCGCGACTAAAGTGGCGAACTCGGCCTTCCATGGCCTTGGCGTATTGCAAAGCCAAGTCCTCCGAGCTGACAGCGAGGCTACACGGCAGGGTTTGAGGGTTGGCCGGAATGGGGGAGGAGTAGGCGGTATACCCTAAACCCCAAACCCTAAACCTATAGGGTTCGGGGTTAGAAGTTAGAAGCCGGTCGGGTTTGGGGTCGGTAACGGGGGCAGGGGTAGGGGTAGGGGTTGTTGTCGCAGGCATACGACGACAACGACGAAGACTCCTGCACAGCTTGACTTCCGGGTTTTAGGGTTTAGGGCTTAAGGTTTAGGCACAGATTGACTTCCCATGTGCCGTGTCGAAGGCCATGAAGTAGAGCTCAAAAACCCATTATCAGCTCGCGTCTCGAATTTCTTTTGAAGCCAGTCCTCCACGTAGAAGATGGCCGCTTCCATGTCCGGGAAGAGGTCCTCAGTGTAAGGGCAAAAACACGGTTTAGGGTTTAGGGTTTAGGGTTTAGGGTTTAGGGTTTAGGGTTTAGGGTTTAGGGTCAGTAACTTGCAGCCATTGCTTGGTTTACCTCCGTCGCGACTGACTGTAATACTGCCACTGCTGGTTGCTTATGCTTATTCGGGCGATTCCTATGTTTGGAGGTTTGGCTTCCACGTTTCAAGGAATGGCCAAACTCCCTTTTCAAGTCCTTACAAAACATATACGAAAACCTTCTCCGAAATCCAGACAACTTCTGCGAACCAGCACAAGGCAATGATGCAAACCACTGGACAAAAATCGACCGAGCTTTTGCACGACGATACAGAGCCTCTACGCAGAAGACCCTTATACTAAAGGCCCCTAAACCATAAACCCTAAAGCCTAAACCCTAAACCCTAAACCCTAAACCCCAAACCCTAAACCCTAAGCCCTTATAAATGCCCCGTCGGGCGGCGTGGTCCCCATGGATGACTCCTCGGCTCTTCATCTCCTTCCACCGAGGCCGAGGCGTTTAATGCAGGGGCCTTCTTCTTCTGCGCTGGGCTGAAAGTCACACAAGGACGTGTCCAAAGCTAAACGAATTCAAGAGTGAAACAGTTGTGAAAAAGGTCCCCGGGCGCCGCCTGCTGCCTAAGCCAGTCGGAAAGCGGATGCAACGCCTGAGCGGCACAAGGCAAGCGAAGAAGGACAGGCGCTCCATTGCGAGCGACAGTGACGGCCAACTCAACGAGAGTCAAAAGGTGCACAAACCAAGCACGGTTAGCACGCAAGTGACGCAAGCGGCAGGGGGCAGGCTCAATCACGCTCGCAAATGGAAAGGGAGGACCAGGAGGGCAGCAACAAAGTGCTGCCACAGGAAACGTCAAGGTGGAACTCGTCAAAGGCCAAAGGAGGGGAGCAGATGGAAAAAGTCGAAGACCCCATCGCTCGACCCACGCATTGCACAGCGAGCCAATCCACCGAACAGGGGCTGAGCGCAGCGGCAACGCAACCGGCACAGGAAGAACGCAAGGCTCAAACGCGCCAGGCAATACGGCGTGCTGCGGTTCACGCCCCGAGACGTGAGAACAAAGGTGCTCTGCGTGAAGCACCAAAAGAACATCAGCGCCCGCAGCTTTCACGGGAGAATCAGGAAGGGAATCAACCCAAGCCTGGAGAGTCCGCCGAAGGACAGGCAAGGGCTCAATGTGTCCTTGAACAACATCGAAAATGGCCTGATCATCAACGTCAGAAAGCAGTTGCAGCGCCTGCATCAACCGAGAACACAAGACAGGCTGAGGGGCTGGCAGCGCCGAACGGGGAAGACCGCCCGAGGCGGGACACCGGATGTGTCCTTCCGACATATCGACCGGGTAATCCCCTGCAGAGGTTTGGGCAACAAGCAAGCAAGAGGGCGAAGTTTTGAAGTGCTTACGCAACCTGGTTTGGTTAGCCACGACAAGCCCACACGAAACGCAAAGTCGCCCAACAGCGAATATATGGGCGGGGCTAAGATAGCCCTGGGCACGATGCGCATGTGCGCCCCAAGCCTGCTGCGTACGGAAGGCAATGCCGCACGGAACACACGCATGCTCACACGACGCCAAAAGCACAGCAGACGCAGAAGGAGTGCAGGCGGACCAAAGACGACGGGCGAATGAGTCACAGCTGGCCTCAAATGCCACGACTTCCGCATGCCACGCTTCAGCTCGTTTGAGCAGGCCCTTCCAATGGCCCGGCTGGTTGCCGATGACATTGCGCCACCCCTCCCACGCGGCAGTAGCATCAGAAAGAACAGACGTGGAGCGGACTGCGCGAAGCAGCCACTGACAGGAGGCCTCAATGCAGGGGCCTTACTAATTAGAATAGGGTTTAGGGCTTAGGGCTTAGGGCTTAGGGTTTAGGGTTTAGGGTTTAGGGTTTAGGGGCCTTACGAATTAGAAGAGGGTTTTTGGGGGTATACTATACTACAGTCATAGTAAGGAATCCCCAAAATAGTATAAGTAATTAATGAATAAGGCCCCGATATTACGGTTGTTGGGGCTTTCCGGGTTTAGGGGATAATGTTGTCAGTGTCTTGCGTTTAGTCGCTAAAACCGCTAGGGCGTATCATACTGTACGCCCACCTCGGAAGGAAACAAGGAAACCTGCACATTCACTTGCAGGGAACACGGAAACCGCGAGGGAGCACCACATTAATGGCAATAATGGTGACGAGGCGGCGCGGGGAAGCGCCGGAAGAAGGAACAAAAGCGGTGGAAAGCAACCCTGAACCCTAAACTGGCGACATCATACCCGTAATCAGGCGCTTGAAGCAAATGCTCTTTAAATGAATCCACGTCCGGAAATGCAGAAACCCGCTCCCTTGCAAAATTGCGTTGGGGGCTGGGCGTTGGTACCCAGAATCCGGGGAAGAACCGCTGAAGTTAACAATCCGCCAAACCAGAAACCAGAAATCCAAGCCGCCCTCAACAAAAAAGATAAGAAGCCCGGATGAGGTGAATCAGACCGGTAAACAAGTAATAACAACAGGTAACATCCTACATTCCATCACGGGAGTCCTTAGCCAGGCCATTCGATACGGAACCTCGTTCTGAGGGTTCAGGGCTTAGGCTTCAGGAGCTCTGGTAGGCCTTCGGACATTTAGGGTTTAGGGCTTAGGGCTCTCACCTTCAAGTGGCGTACTCCTCATTACTCCTCTATGGCCGTCGGGCTTGGAGAAGGCTCTTAGAAGGGTTTTGGGGTCACGAGGTTCTTCTTCGGAAAGGTGTATAGTGTATAATATATTTATATGGCAACTTGGTTGCTCAGCACGCCTGATGCGTTCAAGCGTTTACGGTTTGGGGAGTCTGGAGCTAATGCTTCTGCACTCCTCCTCCTCAACAACATCATCAGCATGAAACTGAAACCACGATGAAAGTCTTCAATATCAACTACATCGACGCAGCGAATGTCAACACCCTCCCCTGATTACCATCATCTGCCCTTTGCAGTATCAACCTGAGCCGTAGCAGCACCACCACCATCACTACCACGACCAGCCTCACCAGTGCGATCACCACGTAACAACCAACATTCCAACACGACCATCACACCCCAACCATCATACCACCGCCATCACCCCACCACCACCACCACCACCATCGAACCACTATCGGCACCACAAAGAGCAACCTACTGACCTATATACTGCCACCAGCGCTCGAAAACCTACCGGGACAGGTATAACAACAGCTCTCATTAAAGCCTCCTCAACCCCGCCTGACCTCGAAATCCGAAACGCTTCGAAGCAGGTTGGTGCATGCTTGTTAAGGGTGTAGAGTCTAAGGCTTGTTGCATTTGCAAGCATGTGTATGTGGAACACGCTCCTCGCCAATCTGCTTCATACCCTAAACAGTAAAAACCCACTTGACCCCTTGAATCCGCGGTGCTGAAGATGATCTGAACGCCAGCGCTCTTAGACTCCTTGGCTTGGGAGGCATGGGCTGAGGGTCCGAAGACGTGTTTCCCGTGCTCTTCACGGTGCAGGATTCTTCTGGACATGGGCTTAGGCAATAGGGCTCAATGGTTGCAGGTTGTGGCTTTGATCTGACCCTATGAAGGTAACATGTGGCTTAGCAGATACGAAAAGCCCTGCTCGAAACTTGAAGCACATCGCGACCTGTAACTGCAATGTCAGGACGTGTCAGGACACCTGTGTCAGCTTCGTGAGCGACTTCGCTGCAGACACCTGGCACGTGTGCAGCGACAGCCCTGTCACACCCCTCCTCTACTACTGCTACTACTGCCACTGCTACTACTGCTACTACTGCTACTACTTCTGCTGCTACTACTACCTGCTACTACTACCTACTGCTACTACTATTTCCTCCTCCTCCTCCTGCTACTACTACTACTACTACTACTACTACTACTACTACTACTGCTACTACTACTAGTACTATAATACTACTACTACTACTACTACTACTACTACTACTACTCCTGCTGCTGCTGCTGCTGCTGCTACTACTACTACTACCACTACTGCTCCTCCTCCTACTCCTGCGTCCTACTATTACCACGGCTGTAGGCTTTAGGGCTGAGGGCTTCGGACTCAGGGTTTAGAATTTTTGTTTCTTGAAGGTTTGGGCTTAGGCCGTAGAGTATCGGTTTGCGGCTGGGTTTTTTTTTTAAGTGCACTGCGCCCGGTTGGGTTTTGGGCAGGAGGGTTTAGGGTTGAGGGTCCCTAAACCCTAAACCCTAAACCCTAAACCCTAAACCGCTTTGGGTGCCTCGATGCCATCCAGCTGGGCGCAGTCAAAGATCACAATCTGCAGCCTGGCTAAACCCTAAACCCTAAACCCAAAACCCAACCCTGACCCCCTCCATCCAGCCCAGACGAAGAAACAAAGCCTTAACACCACCTGGCCCCAAAAAATCTCTGGAGAGTCCAGAAACCGGAACCCGAGAGGCTGAACCAAAAAAAAGAAACAGCCGGCGAGTTCGCGCAGCACACGAATTCCTCAAACCCCCTAAACCCCTACCATGGAAGCCCAAATAAGTACAGATATCCGTTTCTAGGGTTCCTGGTTACAGTCATACTAGAATATACCCCAAACCCTGTTCTACTTATTCGGGCTCCTATGTTACACCTCAAACCCTGGAACCCCAAGCCGACTTGGGCCCTGCGTTTAGGGTTGAGGGTTTAGGGCTTCAGGGCTTTGGGGTTTAGGGTTTGGGGTTTGGGGTTTAGGGTTTAGGGGGTTTCGGGTTTAGGGTTTAGGGTTTGGGGTTTCGGGGCTTTCGGAGAAAACAAACAGCCCCTAAAACGGCCTCCGGTAGTTCGGCACCTTCTCTTTCTTCTCGGTCTCCTTGCTTGGAGTTCGAGGCTTCACACGACTCGGATTTACAGGTCCATATACCGGTTTAGGGTGTTGCATTTGGGGATTTGGGGATACAGGTTTGGCCAGGATGCAGAGTTGAAGTGTGTTGGGTTTTGGGGGTGCAGAAATCAGGCTTTTGGGAAAGGAGTTGGGATGCAGGGGTTGAGGACTTGTGTGAAAGCTCAAGAACAGTTTTTGGATTGAAAGACCATGTGACCCGAACGAACCCGCAACATCATTATCGTAGTCACGACCGCCAATGCGAGGTCTCCCCTCGAAGCAGCCCTCATTTGGGTTTCGCAGTTTGGACTTTGGAGGTTCAGCATTTCGGGGTTTAGGGGTTCGTGTAGAGGCCTCAGTAATTCGAGTTGAACAGTGTGGGTTATATGATACAAGTTCTGATACGGGAATCTAAGTTGTAAGAAAATATTACTATGCTTCAGCCTTCACGATTGGAAGCTGCTTCAACTGCATGTTCGAGGGGCGAACGGTTTAGGGTTCAAGATGACTTCAAAAACAATCGCGAATTGCCTACACTTTGGGGCCTGGAAGAGCATGACACGAAGTGGGTTAATCAAGGGCTATGCTTTCAAGTACAAGCGTTGTGTCATATAAAGTGAGTACTTTCCTTGGTTGAGGGCTTTTGGAGGAAGTCGACCTCCTGAAACCTACACTAAGTTTCACTATATCCTAAGCCGTCTTGCCGTAAACTCAAAGCCCTTACACCTAAACCCTGAACCCTGAACCCTGAACCGCAACCCATAAACCATAAGACCCTGACCCCAAGCTTCTAGAGGGCCATATCCCCTGCTGAACCAACGCACTAAAGCTCTAAACTCTGAAACCCTCGCCCCAAAAGAACCAAAACGCTAGACCCCCAAGGCTCTGAATCCTAGACCCTAAACCCTAAACCCTATGACTCTAAACCCTAAATCATGAGCCCTAAACCCTAAACCCCAAAACCGTAAAAGACCCTAAATCCTGAGCCCTAAATCCTGAGCCCCAAACCCCTAAAGCCCCTAACCCTAAACCCTGAGCCCTGAACCCCTAAAGCTCCAAACCCCTAAACCCCTAAAGCCCCCAACCCTAAACCCTGAGCCCTGAACCCTAAACCCCAAAGCCCAAGACCCTAAATCCTGAGCCCTGAACCCCTAAAGCCCCTAACCCTAAACCCTGAGCCCTGAACCCTAAAACCCTAAACCCTAAACCCCTAAACCCTGAACCCTAACCCCTAAACCCTAAACCCTAAATCCTGAGCCCTAAACTCTAAATCCTGAACCCTAAACCCTAAACCCTGAATCCTAACCCCTAAACCCTAAACCCTAAACCCCTAAACCCTGAGCCCTAAACCCCTAAAGCCCCAAACCTCAAGGAGCCGAGAGGCGATGCGCGTCGCCACCATGGAGGTCACTCCCTGCACGGAGCCGAAGAAAATGAAGCCTTTCAGGGCAGGTTTCGGGTTTAGGGCTTAGGGCTTAGGGGCTTAAGGCTTAGGGTTTAGGGTTTAGGGTTTGGGGTTTAGGGTTTAGGGTTTAGGGCTTAGGGTTTAGGGGTTTAGTTTAGGGTCTAGGGTTTAGGGTTCAGGGCGCAAGAGAGGGGCCGGAGTAATTAGAGCTGGGCTTCTCTAAAGGGGTCTAGAAGGGGTTTAGGGTTTGGGGTTTAGGGTTAGGGTTAAAGTTTTCTTAGGAGGTGTAGGGTTCAGGGTCTGTACTTAGAGGGGCCTTGACAATTAGTATCGGGGTTGGGGTCATATTGAGTTGTATTAGACCTGGAACAGTTTCGGTAATGAAGAACGTGAAGCCTCCCAAGGCCACAGGCTGGTGAAGTACAAGGGTTCAGGGTTTAGTGGTTCAGGGGTTGAGGGGTTTAGGGTTTAGGGGTTTAGGGTTTTAGGGTTTTGAAGCATTCCAAAAAAGCTCGTGGGTCCTGGCGGCCTACGACAAAGACCTCCTGTGCCAAACGGGACTTAGAGCCAATTCGGGAGGGGTTTTATAGGGTCTGGGGTTTAGGGTTTAGGGTTTAGGGTGCATTCCATGATGCACGCTAATAGCCTGAAATCTGCAGATTTCTAAAACCTGAAACTCTCTAAAGTGACTCTGAAGCCTAGCTAAACCCTTAGACGCTAAACCCAAACCCCTAAACCTCTAAGCCCGAAAAAGCCCTGGGGTCGAACCGAGGCCTTTGAGGCGGATGGCCAGCAGCCAGCTGTCTTGGACCTGGCGGTGGATCCGACGAGCTTCTCGCGTCTTGGACTTTCGGGGGGTTGAGTTGTTGAGCCCGAAAACTAACTAACCGAAGGCCCGAAGCCCAAGAGCCTTAAACCCTAAAC